GGGGGGGGGGGAGATGCCCTCCTACTTATTTTTGGATAGTTGTAGCCAGGCCTCGCACACCCCGACATCTGCCTCGCCAGCCCATTTCTTCTGCAGCCGGCAAGGCTTTCCTGAAGGCCTCTGTAGCTGATAACAAAGCTCCAGATCAATCCGGAGCTCTGTTATCGGCTGTAGAGGCCTTCAGGAAAGCCTCACCGGCCACAAAAGAAGGCCTCTGACAGCAAAAAGGAGGCCTCTGACAGCAAAAAGGAGGCCAGGAACGATGCGCGCAAATGAGGTTAGTCATGGATGACATCCCCTGAAAATAAGACCTGGCGCCTTTTTTGGTGGCAAAAGAATATATAAGACAAGGTCTTATTTTCGGGGAAACACGGTAATAAAGCAGAAAATCCAAAATTTTTCAAAAACTGTTACTTGAACCTGCCAAATCTGTAGTAACAACAGATTTGTCAGTGTGAGTTCTAGAGAGACTTTAGAGCAAAGTCTGCTAAGTTACATTTTTCTGGGACTGGTTCTTTAAAGAAAGAACTCCACTTCCTCTCTGATAATCACAGTCTAGTTCAGACACAAAATGAATTTAGCATCTAATTATCTCCAACCCTCTTTTCTTCTCCGCACTTTCTGTCTATACAGTAAGAGCAATTTTCACCATCTGGTTCATAAGCAATCTTTCTCAACGTTTTCAAAAGCGATTAACAGCTTTGTTGATAGAGATCCTTTTAACAGCAGTTGCAATAGGACTAAGCATTACTATTGGAATTAATCCCATTTTCATTCAAGATGACATACCTATTAGATACCTAATTTACAGATACCCAATTTCAAAACATGCCTTTTTCCTACTTACATTTTTGTTTTTAGTAACAATGTTTTTGAATAGTGATCGATCAATCACACCATCATTCCTTTTCTGCATTAGATGCAATCCAAAGAGAGTACGGATTTCATTTTCCTCTGGTTCAAAAGTTGGATCCATCTAAAATCAGAAAAAGATTGCACATCCTTGACTCATTATTTGGTATCAATTACTTATTATTTAACGTATGGCAAAATAAAGTGTCAGCAAATATATATTACATATACATACATCATATATACATACATCTTTATGACCCAGGAGATTACAGCGCAAGACCCAGGATGTCAAAACAATAGAACTCAGAAGGTCATCACACAGCCCATTATCTAGGTCGTTACAACACAGGAGGCTGATAGACACACAGCCAATACCTCAGCCACACATGTTCTTACGAAAAAGCCAGCCAATCTGCAAACATCAACTCCATCAACCAATCAAGAAATGACAACACAGCCAACCTCCCCACCAGTATATAAAGGGAGACGGCAGCTCCAAATCACACTTTGCTCTCACAAGCACGAAGCCAAAAGCACCAGCCTGAAGATGACGAGTGGGACCTCATCGAAACGTTGCCAAGATGCTCTCAACCTTACACGGGAAAAGACCCGAACACGCCAAGACCTGCATACCTGTACCCGTGAAAATCTACGAAAACACACACACACACATATAATATAAAGATATAATATAAAGATATGTGGACAATACATAGGAGATATATAAAGGTAAAACCATGCAGCCACAGAATTGCAATGTGATGGATGTTATGATTCGACATCGAAGGAAGCTAACCATCTAACCGCTTCTGGTGTGGGTGCAGTGAGATCATCCCAATTTCCTGAGGGTACATTCTTGAATTATATGTGTTATAGTTTGTTCGGGTACATCACAGTTGCATTCCTGGCTCTTGGCCATTCCCCATTTAAAGAGCTTTGCCTTAGTTCTGACACGTTCTATCCTGCTTCTATTCGGGTGGCTCCATATTTTTCAGGGAAACTGCATTCCTGGAAGTAGTTTTGTTGGATCTGTGTGATCTGTTTGGTTGTAGTTATTAAAAATTGCCCATCTTAATTGCCATTCTTCATCTAGATTGTAAGACTTTGGTATGTTATTCCAAATTAATTTCCTATACTTAAGCCTGGTGAGAATTAGAGTGTCTAATACGGTACTTTATGTATTGGAGTATCTTTATGCAGTAGCAATATTCCATGAGTCCATGAGTTTAGTATCGGTGAGAGGGTTACTAAAATATCTAACTACCATTAAGTTAAAAGATTGCCAAAAAATTGTGGTCCTTACAATAACAAGATACAGTTCAAAATACCGAAATGGCATTTGTTTGGTGTTCAGAATGTTTAGAATTGCAACCTTGTGAATGCAAAAGAAATCATTTTGAGTAAAGGTGAATTGGACTGCTCTGCTCGAATTTGCAATAGTGGGAAGATGTACAGGGGTGGGATCCGACTGGCATAACAACCGGTTTGGGGAGCGCACGCATGCACGTCAAATGCGCGTGCGCTACTGGCTCCGGCAAGCATTTACCTTCTCCAGCTGACAATTAGCACTCAGCTGTGCCGCACAAAGCAGGTGAGGAGGAAAATGCAGCCACTAAAGGACAGCCTAGAGCCCGAGAGGGCAGGAGGGACAAACAACAGACCAGAACCTCATCCCAGCGAATCAGTTCGGTGTCAGCTGCTCTTCGGAGCCACGAGTTCTATAGAACCAGACGGAACTGGTAGGATCCCATCTCTGAAGATGTATATATGTAACAACTACAGCTATACTTTATTCTTTTGAGAGCAATTAGAAACCAAACTCACTTGGTCACCCCCAAATTGTTAAATTTCTAATCACCAGGATTAACTTTAGTTACTGTTCCATTCAAAAACTTCAATAATTAATCTTATGTAATAATATTTATTTATTACACATCAAAGTATTCTTATTTCATTATTAAATATAACAACAATAATAGTAAAAAACACAAAACTACTGTCTATTCCCGGATCCTTGGGAAGGATTCCATAGGTAGATAGAAATGTCAAATGAAGTCTAAACTTTTGACTGTGCGACCAACCGTAAGTTTTAAGCTGCATGCTATCTAACTTCCAATGACTTTGCGTAGCTCACAACAAAAGAAATTATTCAGTTCCGGTTTGTCAGGCTTCGGCGGTGGCAGGAATTCGCGTTTGTGCGCGATCCCTGCTGCGCTCGCTGCTGGAGTGCCTCCGATCCAATTGGATCTGGAGGCTATAGTTATCCTGTAGGGATAACTGAAGACAGGGGAGATCCGGACAGGGGTCTGGGGACATCGCAATCCCCTTCCTCAGCCGGCTAAACTCCCTTTTCCAAAGGCGGTGGAGCGGCGGTCAGCAATGGCCGCCACAAAGAACCTCTCAGCCGGACAAGTTTTGTGCAGGAGGAAGTGAAGAAAGTGAAAGCTTTTGGCTGAACCGGGACGACAATCAACATCTGAATACCCTGGAACTTTGACTTCTTAAGTGATACATTGTTCCCAAGAGGATTGCAAAGCTGCGGTTGAAAGTGAAAGGGAAAGCTTTTTTTTTCTCCTCACTTTCCTTCCCTATGGAGATAGCAGATGGAAATCAAAAATACCCGCTTTGGCAGCAGAAGGTAACTAACTTTGAAAATTAAAGCCAAGGGGACATTAGATTTCTAAACACTGACATTTAAAAATTAAAATCTTTTTGCTATAAATGGGAAGGAAGAGAGGTAAATGATTTACACCAAGATTTCTTGAAGGAGACTGCTTGGAGCTTATAAGATCAGAGATTAAACTGCAATAAAATTTCAAAAAATTAATTTGGAACTGTGTAATTGAATTCTACCCCAGGAAGAGAAAGTATTAAAAGAAGAAAGTGCTAAATGAAACAGTTTGTGCTGATTTGGATTGCTTGATGACTTTGGAATTTTTGCAAACTATTTTTTGAAAGTTTAAAAACACTTGGATTGTTTAAAAAAAATAGAAATAAAACAATGGCATTATCTGTGGAAGAACTGAAAATCAAATTTAAAAAGCTAAAAGAAGAGGAACAAGAAGGCAAGGGCTCTTTTGGATCTGTTTTCCACTTTTTAGAAATGGCGATTTCTACCTATCAGGAAATACAGCAATCAAAAAGTTGGGAGGAAGAAGGAGAAGCCATCTTTAATGGACAAACTATTTTAGTTGATGAAGAAAAGGGAAAAGGCGGAAAGAAAATGGAGAATTCAAGATTTAAAAAAATAACCAAGAAAGGGAAAAATAAGGTGAAAAATCGATATAATGTCAGAAAGCAACAGAAAAGAGAAGTACAACAGAGAGGGGAGACTAAAAGGGTGGAGATTGAGAGATGTGGGGGGGGGGTAAAAAGATTAGATTTCACAAGAAAGGAAGGGAAAAAGGAAAAAGAAGTTATAAAGGCTTAAAACAAGATGCTAAAAAGCAGGGGGGTTTTTAGAGATAAAGGGTAAGATATGATTTAAAGAGATTCTGCAAAAGTACACAAGATTGTATTGTAGTATTTGTACTTGAAATAGAGTTAGAAAACTGGAATATTATATGTGTTAATAGAATATTGTAGGGAATGTGTAAAATATCTAAGATTTAATAATACCTAATATCTATGTGTAAAATATCTAAGATCTAATAATAGAGTCTAACTAATTAATTTGTTATGGAACATTGTTTTTTATTATATTATAAGCTTATTATGTTTTTTTCTTATTTTAAAATGTTATTTAGAATGTACTAAGCAGAATCAAAATGGAAACTATGTAGTATTTTAAGTGTTAAATTGGGGAAAAGATAGAAAGGCGTCATACTTCAACCACTGATTACAGGAAAAATTTTGTATTAAAGAGAAAAGATAAATAGGCAATTGAAAAAGAACGGACAAAAGATACAAGTATAATGGTTTAAATTGAGATGAGGTAAATAATAATAGAATTAAGAGAGTGAAAAGAGGGGAGAAGACATATAGAAAGTATAGAATGTTAAATAAGATTGAAATAGTATATAAGGTGAGCATGAATTTGATTTATGTCTGTACAAAAAGATGTAACCCGGGGTTAAGCCGCTTTCTAAAAAGAAGTTTTATGTTTTCATGTTACGTGTTTTGTTAGTTTATGTTTGCTTATTGAGAATTAAGATTGTTGGATGAGAACATATGAAAGTGTAAATAAGATAGATGAAAGTATAAGTTTAATGAATAAAATTGAATAGAAGTAAAGGGGAAAATAGTGAGAAATTGGAAAAAGAGTAATAAGATATGAAGTTGAATATATAAGATGCATATTAAATTGTGTTTGTATGGAAATGGGATAATTTGGAACTATGTTGTACTTAAATAAGATGTTTCATTTGCTTTCTTAAAAGATGTTCTATGTTCTTACGTTTTATGTTTTGTTGGTTTGTGTATTGTTTTTGAAAATTAATAAAATTTGTTAAAAAATACAACAAAAGAAATTATAATAAAATAGAGTAAAAGATTTTTAAAAATGGCAAAATCCACTGACCAATCAGAATAACACAAGGGATCTCACTCTCTTTCACTAAAGGTTTGGGTGGAAAGTCAGGTCTCCACAGCAACTCCAAATAACAACAGTGGGACTCATCTGGATCTTAGCAGTGTACCTTATTCCAGAGACAAGGCATTTATAAGAGTTCATTCTGATCTGCAAGCATGATAGGCAGTTTTGTTTTGTTTTGTGGCTTCACTTGGACCTCAGAATGGATGAGACTGAAATTTTCAGCCCCAATTTTTTCTTTATACAGAAGGCTAAAGCACCTATTTTTCCCTTTAAACCCCACCCACCCCCCCAAAAAAAAGGGAAAAAGAAAAAGAAAAGAATTGCCAGCTTGAGGGTGGAGGGGTAATTTAGATTTGCCAAAAGGCCTGAGACTCAACTATGTGGACAGGGAGGAGGCTAGAGAGATGGGGCTTTAGGGAGTTTATGTGAGGTATTGGGGGAAAGAACATGCAGCCAAGAGATGATCAATCAGGACTGATAAGACATTCAAATATACTAACAGTAAAAAAAAAACATTTGATGTTCTAGTATAAAAACCCTTGCAAGCAGTTTAAAGAGGTTTAGGAATGAGAGTTCTTTTTTTTTTTTAACTTTAGTTTGTATGAACACATTTGGAACAGGCAAATCAAGAAATCAGATTTTAGGCTGAGAGCCACAATGGAAATAAGACATATATTTAAATCATTTATTCTCAAGAATAAAACACTGACCTGGAGTACACAGTAACTGCCATTTTTCTTTTTGGATAGTATTTTGAGGGCTTCTTCTTCAAAGCCTGGAGCCACAATCCCATCAGACACCTACACAAATAATGGTTAAACCATCAAGTGGAACAAGAAGACAAAGTTTGAGTACTGATTTGTACATTGCAGAAACCGCAGTATTTATGTACAATACAAAAGAACAGCTGGAATTATACTACCAGTAATAAGGAGGAACACAAAAGAACCAGTAAGGACTGAATTTGGGAAGAGAGGGAGAGAAAAATCAGATGGGAAATGGAATGAAGAATCTGGAGATTTGACTGACTGGTACTCTGACCATCTTGTCAGGCAACATTTTGCTTAAATGTATGGCACAGATTCACTTCGTCACAGTAGTTTGAACAATGGAGGCAACTAGAGATGTTACCCAATTTACTTCAAAAATTGGGGGGGGGGGAAGAGATGTTCTGTGGCTCAGTAGCTATAGTCTACACAAATGTCCCATCTTAGCATACACCGTGGGGTTCCTCACAAACCTACATTGCAGCTATTCAGCCTAGAAGTTCTGTGAGCACTGACTATAGATTTCTTGTCTTCTAAGAAATTGTCTGACAGTGAGAGCAATCAACCAATGGAACAGCTTGCCTTCAGAAGTTGTGGGAGGTTCATCCCTGGAAGCTTTCAAGAAGAGACTGGACTGACATCTGTCAGAAATGATATAGGGTCTCCTGATTGGGCAGGGGGTTGGACTAGATGACCTGCAAGGTCCCTTCCAACTCTTGTTAATCTGTTTATTTGTTTAAGTGTGCTGTGCACTTCTTGCAGTTTGTACTGGAGTCATCCAGTCAGAAAGAGATTAGATGTTCCCTCAACCCATACTGGGTTGCCTATTCTGGGAGCCCTTAACCAGCACTGCAGAAGTAAACTTCTCAGCATTTTATGAGTTCCTTTTCACTTTCATAAAATCCTTTTTCAATTCCATATTTGAAAGCACTACTTTCCCAATTTCCACTTTGTTATAAACACTAGAAGCAGGATAAAATCAATCCTCTAGTGCAGGAGCATATAATTACTATGGCTAGGATCATTATTAGAGCTACAGGGTACGTAATCATGACATTCTGATCTCCTGTAAGTTTACAGCTTGTGTTTTGATTGTGGGGGTATGGACAAAAACTAGCCTTATTTGAGGGACTGAGGGGGAGGAAATCAATCTCTTAATGTTTCACAAAGCTTAAGATACCCTTTTGACCCATGAACGCATTACCATTATTTGTTTACTTTATTAATTGACAAGGTGACTCTGGCCAGTCATACATTGATATAGTTATTTTCAACTGCAATTAAGACTGTAGGAGAAAATGGTAATTACTGACCTCTCTTGAAATGATCTTAGCTGTAGGAACATCACAGATATCAGATAAAGCAATGAAATCCCCAAAAGATGACATCCTATCAGCACCTGGAAAAAAAGTAATGTTTTCAAACTGAGACACTCTCATTGAGTAAGAGCCATGTTATATATAGAAGAAAGAACAGAGCAACTGGATGGAACCTGCCCCAGGCTGGATCCACTCATTGTAGAGCTTTAAAATATGTAGAAGTTGTTCCTTTATTTGCTACTTGACAAATCAGGTACCTTTCAACTATTTCATAGCAACTGGCATTTATAAAGTAACTGAAGTTGTCAGTCATTTCTGTAAGACAGATGTGAGAAAATGCCTTAAACAGTTTGGCCACTGCCATTGTCCACCACCATTATATAGACAGAGCAGCAATTCTAACCAGAATGTTAAATGAAAATATGGTCTTCTTTTGAGACCCCACTCACCTCTTGCTCTGGCATATGCGGTTGCCAAGGGTGTTAGAGTAGGGTACAAGTCACGCACCATGCACACCTGAGCTTCTTCCTCACTGAGGGGCACACCAACAGCGGCACCTAGTAAGTGAAAGACAGTAAGAGCCGCTTTTCAGAGGTCTGAAGGTGACTTCTCAAGTTACAAAGGTGTAACGTTATTTCACATGTTGTTCTGAGACCCACAATGATTGTTTCTATTCCACTTAAATAATGCACATCATTATTTTTCATTACGTTGTTCATACACAACTTTGTTAAGAAAATCAATTTGTTTAACTAAAACCATGGGATTTTTTACAAGACCATCTCAGAAATGGAGCATTTCTTAAAATGTGAGCCAACATGCTCTCTGAATAAAATACACCAGTAAGCAAGAACTTGGAAGTTGAGAATTACCTGCTGGACTGACGTGCTTGAATGAAGAGGCAGCGGAAATGCCCAATGCTTGCTTCAGTTCCCTGACCAACTGCCAGGCATTCAGAGCATCACATAGATTTATAAACCCTGGGGAACCGTTCAGAACTGTGAAGAGATGAAAAGACTCATTCACCTATAAAAGCCATTCTGCAGGATGGCACCACATGCATGTGTAGAATATATTAGCCAACAATTCAGGTTCAGAACACCGGTTGTGAATAGCTATAAATTCACACTGTGTCCAAAAACCCCTTTATGGATCTCAGCTCAAGAACCATATTGTAAACAGAACCATTTATAAAGATAAATGGTTGACATTATCAGGACTTATTGGAAAATTATAAGGAGAATTTACAATCAAATCAAAAGAACTATAGCGGAAGAATATTGTCAGAGTGTGCACACCTTTACTACCTGAGACAACCCAGGAGCAATAATAGCAAACAGAAGTTTGTAATAAATAGTGGTTTTACCTACAAAAGAATATACTTTATATTATACATACACACGCCATAGGGAGGGAGGAGGGGAGGGAGGGAGATGCTCTAACAGGGCCTTTTTTAATTAAACAGGCTCTTAAACAGAGGTGGACTGCACAGACTGTTAACAACCAGTTCACCTAATGCAAAACCGAAAATGTAAGTGCGTGTGCACATGTGCGCCATCCGCACTTGCGCGCAGCTGCAAGAACAAGATTTCCTGTGCACAGCAGCCAGTGAGTAGATTGGGCGAGGCATGATAATCAGCTGGGTAGCGTGGGTGGAGTAAGAAAGCCATATACGACGGGATAGCACCCAGCCAGCGGTCGGAACTACCAGTACGGGCAAGTCGGTCTGAACTGGCAGCAGCCCACCACTACTCTTAAAGGGATAACAGCCAAAAACCTTGCTGACTCATTCCCATCACTAGGTCATTGCATCAGCTAGTCAGCTCTTAAATCACTACCCTGACACCATTTAAAGCTGAACAGTTGGCAATCGAAATGTTTTGACATACTCTTGACGCTTGTCTACATTTAAAGGCTTTGTTAACGTATTGCCTATATTATGTTCATTGGAACATTGCTGCAATCATATCAGTTTATCCTTTACAGCCTCCCTGACATTACAGTACTTTACATCTACATGTTTACTCCTAGCTTCCGGTTCTCCTGTTGCCATTTTTATATATGCAACACTCTCTTCAAATACTGGTACAGCTCTCTTTACATTAACATTTACATCTTTTAGTAATTGTACATATCAGGTTATTTTAGAACATGCCTCAGACAATGCTATGAATTCAGCTTCAGCAATGGAAAGTGCTTCTGAAAGCTGTTTTTTGGATCTCCATCCAATTACAGTGCCAGCAAACAATACTACAAACCCTGAGTTTGATTTTCTGTCCCACACATCGTTTGCCCAGTCACTATCTACATAGCATTGTAACAATAATTCACCAGATGGCTTTATCCATAGTCCTAGTTCCATTGTCCCTTTTAGATATTGCAATATCCTCTTGATTCCTAACCAGTGTTGTTTTGGTGCCGATGTATGCTGACTTAAAATGCTAACTGCATTGGTTATATTAGGCCTTGACCACTGGGATAAATATAGTAAACTACCTATAGCCTATTGGTACACCTCTTTATCATATTCTGTATCATTTTCTGTTTCTACATTGTTCTGGAAGCTTAATGTCATAGGATTTGATACACTTACTTTCTAGTATATCATATTTTTCTAGTTGTTTTATTTTCTTTGTTTAGCTTAGCATATATCCTCTCTGTTCTGGTTTCCTTATCTCCACACCTAGGTAATTCTTTATTTCTCCCAGGCTTTTTAATTTAAATTCCTTTTCAAGCTGCCTGGCAAAGGAGTAAGCCTGTGAGCAATGTTTAACAATAAAACATATGTCATCCACATAAACTAACTGCTCCCTCATACTGTGCCATGTATAAACATGGATTTGCTTTGCTCCCTCTGAAATCTGAGAGCAGCATCTAAGCACTGATTCCATTTCCTTGCTGACTGTTTTAATCCATATATGGCCTTATTTAATTTATATACATATCCAGGATTCTCCATTTCATAACCTGGAGCTTGAGCTATATATATTTATTCTAATTCTTCATTTAAATATGCAGTATAAATATTGAAGTGATATATGGTATACCTGCATGCAGCTGCTAAAGCCAATGCTAGACTTATAGTCTCCCTTCTTATTGTTGATGCAAACATCGTCATAATGAACATTTTTCCTTTGCGTAAATCCCTGCGCAAATTAACCATGCCTTATACTGCAGTTCATTGTTGTACAACACTTTTTTAAATATACCCATTTACACCCCACTGCCTTTTGTCCTTCTGGTGATCTCATGGGTGTAAAATCCTGATGCACATTCATAGGCTAACACCCAGAAACTTAAAACTGAACACTTCTTCCACTCGGTCTCCATTGATAAGCAATGGCTGGATATCTGATCTATTCCTTCTATAGTCCACTATAAACTCCTTGGTATTATTGTGTTAAGGATCAATTTATTGTCTCCATACCACGAAAGCAACCAGTCCACCTCATCTCGATAGGCAGACTCATCCCCTCCAAAGATGAGTCCCACTGTTGTATCATCTGCAAATTTAGTATTAGTATTACTAGCGTGAGTAGGAATACAGTCATGCACATAAAGAGTATATAGTAACATGCAACCCTGTGATGTACCAGTGTTAAGAATAAGGACTGAAGAAATATGATTACCTAATTTGACCCTCGGCCAGACAGGAAATTCATAATCCAAAGGCAGATTCAATAAGAAACTCCAAGATCCATAAGTTTAGACACTAGTCTACATGGAAATATTGTGTTAAATGCAGAGCTAAAATGGGGGTTCTCTGGGCACATGTTCTATTTTAAGCTTAACACTGCCTATGTTTTTGAATTTACTCACCAAGTGCTAGAGAATTAAATTCAAAAACATAGGCAGTTTTAAGCTTAAGCTATTAGGAAAAATGACAACAGTAGGTTTGACCTACCTGACAAAATTACTGTTACAACTACAGCAACATAATATTTTGAACAATATTGCTATTTACTAATGGTTCTGCTGGAGTGCCTTCAAAGTGGATTTTGAGTGCCTCCTACCTGAGAGAGGAAGTTGAGGCCTTGAAGTATAGAGTTGAGCGGGAGTTTGATGGGGATTCATGCCATATCTCAGTGGAAGTTGAGATACTCCTTTGCTGTACTCTTTTCTAAAGTAGTCAGAAATTGCTGTATCATATTGAGCAGTGTGAGTAAAGGCCTACAAGAAGTGTGAGAGAGATGCAGCTGTCATCAAAGTAAGGAAAATAGGAACATTCTCTGTGTCACAGGCACATCATATAGGTTGTCATAAGTAAACTTTACCTTTAAAGCCAACTGACGCCGAATTTCCAAACTGGTATCATTATCAGAATGGTTTTTCATTTCTTTTGCTATATCAGTATAATCCCCAGGATCACAAACAACTGTCACCCGGGCATGATTTTTTGCTGCAGCTCTCAGTAAAGCAACACCTCCTGTGAAAAAAAATGGAAGCGAAGAAAACATCATATTCAGCATTTATAGCATTCACTACCTTTCACACCTACAATTCATAGCTCAAGTACAGATCTCTCTCCAATTTCGTCCACAACAGGATCAGAATCTCAGACGTTGTGGGAAGCAATTAAGTGAAATGACACATAACCGCTTCACTCAACAGCTGCAATCCAGGCTCTCCCAGTTGCAGTACTAAGCAATTGCACCGATTGCTAAGCTGAACACCAGGGAGAGGGCCTCTCCCTGCTCTATCATGTCTGGGAGGACTGGGTCCTCTCCCCAACCCAACATGCTAGGGCAATTTACCTTTGTCTTTTTCTGCAGCCAAGCCCCACTCTGGAAGGCTCCTTTTACAAATGTGTCATTTGGAGAAGGGGCCTCAAAACTAGATTTTCTAGCAAGTCTAGAAAACTAGCAAAGACAATCATTCTAAAGGCTAGTAATCCTAGCTTTCTAGTCCTCCCCCACAAGCTAGAGAATGTCATCTTTCTGAAATCTACTAATCTTTCTAGCTTTGAGAACAATGGTGTTCACTGGAAAGAAGGCTAGGAAGCTTCAGAGGGCCTGAACACTCCTCTGTGTATGGAAGATTATGCCTCTGCCATGCTCAGACTTTCAGGACTCAAGCCCCTTTTCTGCAGCTCAATGGAGAGGTTGAGCAGTTCTCTTGGCAGGTGGCAGCGGCTTGCAACCTTCTCTGCCAGTTCCTCATTGATTTTCTAGAGAAGCTTGAAAATGGTAAGTACATGATAATGGGGCGCTTGGGAGCCAGGTTATCAAACACCAAAAATGTGTCCATGTGGTTGTGGAGTGGCTGGTATAACATTTTAAGATGGCCAGAAGTGCTTCACAGGCCATAAAACATCCTCTTTTGAGACTGTTGTAATTTTGAACAATCATTAAACATAAAACGAGGACTACCTGTATTGCAGTCAGCCTCTCAATAATTCAGAAGAATGCATTACTAGTAGAACCCACACAATATATCTGCAACCATTTCTTGAATTGTCTTTTCAAAACAATGCTAATAACTTTTGTAAAAAGTCTACCGTGAATATTTGTTTCGTGGTTTCCAGAGGAATCATTTTGTCTGTGTTATACTTTCATTCATGGGGATCAAGGAATTATGCCTTCCCCTCCTAAGAGAAGGCAGCATTTCGAAAGCAAACCGTATCAATGCCAAATCATTCTGACTAAGATGCAGCTATCACAGGATGTCCCAGGAAGAATGACAGAAGAGAAAGAAAGCTAACAGCTAAGCTACTAGACCGGAACTGTGTCAAGCTATTAAAGACCATAAGACCCCAGCATTTATAGAAGGTTGAAAAAGAACACAAACCTGGCAGGATTGACTGATCCAAGGCTGAGTGGAAGAAACAGGACAAACGACTATAAAAATACGTTTGAATCCCTTTCTGTCAAACTGAAGCACAAGGGAGGAAAGTTGTGACTGCCTCCTTGCTCTAACGAAGAAAAAGTGTGGTAAAGTTTTCTCCTGCCTCCCACTAAAACGTTCATCAATGTTTGTGCAGTACTATGAAGTCATGCTTAAATGTTTTCATTAAATTTCTGATTTGCAAAAGATGTGCACATATAATAGGGAAGGATTACTTACATATTAACTTCCACTTGCAGTCTATGCACATATACCAATCACAAGCTCTCAGTGGAACTGAAGCCTAAACATGTCAGTAAGAAGATGAAGAGAGGAAAGAATACTATTGGAACACAGTATTACTCATTGACTGATACCTAAACCATGTTATTATGGGAACTGTGAAAACTCTATTAATATACAAAAAACATACAAATGAATACTTCATCTCAGAAAACTCAGACTTTGGAAAGACTTCAGACAAGTCCAATTCCAAAGTCTGAGTTTTCTGAGACTAAGTATTCATTTGTAAGGAACTATTTCAAAAATATCCCTTTAAAAACAAATCAATCTCACAAAATTCTGATCCAGTAAAAACAGAGATTCAAGACATTTCATATCAAGTTATCTGCCACAATCAAAAGTCTTCACAGACATTTTAATACTATTAAATGCAAATCAGATCAATGTATATATTTATTTTTGTATTTCTCCATACTACAATAACTTACCAAGTAAACTGGGGGTGCACTAACTGCAGTTTAACAAAATCCTTGAAGGTATTTTCCTCTAATTTAATTGTATGCACTTGGCTAGCCTGATATGGGAATAAGAACAAACAAAATCCTTCTACTAGTGGAATCTGAAATAACAAATGTGAAGATAGGGGAATCTGGTATCATGCCTACAATGCTTGTGGGACAGTTCCTGCATAAAACAACCTGGCATACATTTGTAGCATGTGCAAGCTTGTAGAAGTTATTGAAAAAGTCAAAGGAATGGTCACACTTCAGCTAATGAAAGAGAATTTATCAGATCAAAGAAAGAAAGAAAAAACAACTCTCTTATGATACCCAAGCAAATGATTAAAAATTAAAACCAAAATTGAGATACGGAAGGTATTTTGCACCACTGGAATTCAAATTGTTGTTACTATACTTTACTATCAGCATATATTTGAATTATGGTACAAAGTAGTAATGATTTTAATTTCCACAACATATTTTGGAAGACAAATTACAATATGTGTTTCTTTCAGGAAAGTTGCTGGTAACTTTCTCTTTCATAAGATGGAAGAAGGCACAAAAAGTTTAGCTATCCTTAAGTTCTTACTGACCATTAGGAAAGTGCCAGGAGGAGGAATATTGGTGAGACAGATCATGTAATGCTTAGTTCTTGAATGAAATCTTCATTCAAATTTCAAGGAAAACTGAATGCAAATAGGTTATCTTGGATATTAACAAAGTGTATTTCAAGAATAATAAGTAGACAGAAGTTAATGAAGAAAGGAGCTGAATATGGCAAAATATTTCAGGTAATGAAGAAAAGTTAGCACTTTTTAATTTGACTTTTGTTCACTTCTATCCATTTCACCAGGGAAAGAGAAAGGTGGAATAGTAGGACTGACATATAAGCACTGACTACCTCTTGACTCTGAATGAATTTAAATCTATTATCAAATGGAGAAAAAAAGAGAGCTAATAAGGACAGACTGGAGGAACTAGGAATGTTTAGCCTTGAGAAGAGAAGGCCGAGGAGGGACATGACAATGCTCTTCAAATACTTGAGTAAGACCAACATTCTGCTCCACAGTACAGGATGCAAAATTATGATTTAAATTCCAAGAAGGTAGATTCCAATGCTAGAAAACAATTCTAACAGCAAAAGTAGTTCAATAGCAGAACCATTTTATCTTAATGAAGCCATGTATTGGGGATGCTCTGATTTGAGCAAAGCATCAATGAACAGAGACTAGACTCAGTGACCTACATGGCCCCTTCCAACTTAATAATTCCAAAGCTTTCCTTAGCAAGGTATCATGCAACAAAATGGGAAGGTCAATGGAAGAAAGTATTATATGAACACTGTTTTCACTTAATAGGTGATGGTATCCACAAAGTACTGACGCAAAGCAATGTGTTTGCAATATATAGTCCATACTGACTTACCAATATCAATCTGTTCAACAGCTTCTTGTATAGTAACATTTGGGGAGGCCACTGTTTTGACAAATGGGTAGAGATTGCAAACTACAATTCTAGAAAAAGAAGCATGGAGTAACTTTAAATTAAATTCAAAAGACAGAAGTGAATTCTTTACCATGTCTCAATGTAATGCAACTGTAATTTTATCCCTGCTGTGGCCAATGAAGAGTCTTATGCTTGTTAAACTTTTCTGAATCATCACATGAGAATTGTGTTAAGGCAGTTCAAGACATTGCTGCTCTGGTGATGGGGATCTTCCTACATTTTCTATTAACTATGGCTACAATAAACCAAGCTAAAAGCACACTTCTGTGATTATAGGTTTCCTGCTGGCTAATACACATTGCCAACATTATTACATTCTTCAGATTTCACTAATGGGATGTTTTGGAACTCGTCTACATCATACCAACAGACTGCCTCCATTATATGCTGTTTCTAGAATATTTGTGAACTATGGAAAATATAAAGGGAATACTCTCAGCAATGATAATTTCTGTGCACTTACAGTGCACTTCCAATAGGATGCTATTCATCCACCAGCATGAAGGAACTTAATCCTATTGAAAACCTTTTGAACCTTTTGGTTGCAAATGAACTTTAAATGTTGAAAAAGGTTTTTCAGAATATTGATTATATTAAAAGGTTAGAAAAGTCATACTCTAACTTTTACTTTCACCATGACTGCCTTGAGTTATAAACTCCATACTCCTGGCCTTCTGGAAGGGCCTGAAAGCTAGGCTCTTGCATACTATATTGGGGGTAGCTAACAAGGAAGAGAAGATCTCTGGCCTGAAGCTACCCATCATCTTGGTTTTTTTGTTTTTCTATTTAACTCTCCTAATTTTAATTGCATTCTTTACCTTTTTTACTTTTTATTATATCAAAAACCAGCCAGAGTTGCTGTATTAGTAAGATGGGTACATAAACATTTAATAAATGAATAAAACCAAACATTTTATTTGTGTCTCTTTCTTGGAATACTTGTGACTCCAATACTGAATCCACCAACTATATTTTTTTTCTTTCAATATTCGATTAAAGAAAGGGGCAAAAGTTATGTAGTGGCAGACTAAGGATAGTGGAAGACCAAAATCTCAGCATCAAAGACTGGCCCTGACACTTTGTCCTCTTACGTTTGAAATTGATTTACATGTTGAAATTCAAATAAAGCTAGGTAAATCTCAAAAGGGTATATTTGCCAATGCTTCAAAGTAAATAATGAGAAGTCAAGATTTGACAATCTCTTGCACAATTACAAAAATCCTTCCCAGTTTCACCAAAAAACCCCCATCAATTCTGAAAATGCGCATTCACAAAGAGACGAGAGGTACTTTATAGTGAAAAACCTTTAATCTCTATGCAAGTTAACTTCTATCAATTGATATCAAAGGTTGACTTCATGATTATTTATTAACCCCCAACTACCCTTCTTACCTTACAAGGCTGAAATCCAATTTTTCCATGTCAGCTTTATCTTGTGGAATATCACGAGCCAGGATGCCTAGTTTTTGTATGAGGAAAAGGAGAGGCTCAGAAAATGTAAGACAATCCAGTCCCTTCAAGCCCTTGTTAAAAATGGCCAATGGGGAATAGTAGTACCTTACCTACACTAAGACAATAATATAAAACAGTTGGTGTATGAAGAAAAGAGAGTACCATCACATTCTCTTGTAAAGGTTTTACTCTTGAAAGTAAACTGTCTTCTTTTCTTTTAACCTTAGCCACCCCACTGTTGCTTGAAACACACCAAGAAGTTGTATATAAAAATGTTACCCGAGAAACAATATCTACAATGCATACTATTTTAAGTTTTATTATAGAAGACTTTCGGCCTTTGATGTGTGAAATAAGGTATCAGAGATAAAATGACTTTTCCTGTCACTCACATCTATTGTGCTGAAAAATGCATTCATATGGAAGAATCCTTTATGACAAGTTCCCAGCTTGCAGTCTGAATAGATACAGCTGGGACACAAGTTAGCTGTCTGAATAACAATAGTTTTAGATCAGCCTTCTCCAGCTGGCTATTCTTGAAATGCCCTGGACTTCAATCCTGAATCTCATCATCATCCCCATTTTGATTGAAATGATAAGATGCTAAGGGCAACAGGTTGAGAAAGGCTGCTATAGATTAACTGAAACTCCAATCAAACCATCTTTTTGCAGATGCCCATGCAAATTACAGGATCAGTTTTATGTAAGAGAATCTGTTTTTTATTATTAGCTGTTCTAGGACCATAATAAAGTACTAATTCATTTACAACAGAGTAACATACCTGCATGCACTGCAGGATGAAGAGTTTTCACACGTCCTCCAAGCATTTCTGGAAAGCCAGTAAGATTGGAAACATCTCTGTTCCAAAAGAGAAGGAATAAAAAACATTATGTAGCATTTACAGCATTCGTATAACACAAGGGTTAACATCTAGACTTCAGTTTTGCTGCCTCTAGACTGTTTTCTTATCTACAAGAAAATATTAAGTCATGCATCAAAAGTGTCTGCTCTATGGAATAAAGAATGGTGGATACAATTTACTTGTGTCAACTTATTCCATGTCAAATTGGGATACTTGAGAAAAAGTGGAGGGGTCAATATCCACCTGTAGGATATTTTGTACCAGTTTTCCTTCAGATTGTAGCTTGATGTAAATTTTATTGATTTGCTCCATAGCTGTTCCACTGGTTTTTTTCATTTGAAATTTTGCATCTATTTTATCAATTTTTATTTACTGTCTCCATGTTATATTTAAATAACAATTTGTAAATACAGCTTAATAAATTATTTTGATTCCGTATTAATATTTCAAATTCTGCCATTTTTCTTAGGATTTCTCATCCTTCTCCAAGATTGCCTAAGATTTTTCAGCTATTTGGAAATACGTTAACCATGATAGATTCCTTCCTTTACTAAGCAATTGTCTTTTGTCTATTCGTGGGTCTAGAAATTGGCATATATAATCAGATTTTTTATTATAATGTTCTTTATTAACAAAAATTGTTTGATGAAATATTCATATTCTCCCCCAGAAAAGAAACATGTGGACACTGTTGATTTTGCCAAATATACCAGTGACAAAATATAAAGTAGCTCAGACTTTCTTAAAGGAAAAAAAAAGGCACGTGTTGGTGATCGGAGATTCATTTTTTAAAGGAACAGAAACAACAATCTGTAGACTAGACAAATTCTTAAGGGAAATGTGTTGTCTTCCAAGTGCAAATATTAAAGATAAGATAGAGAGGCTCATCAAAATAATCCAGCCCTTTCTCCTGTTTCATATTGGGATAAATAATACTACTAAGATCTTGGAAGCAATTCTAATGGACTATGAGCAACTAGGCAGGGTAGCCAAAGAAGATGACAACAGGTGGTCATCTCATCTATACAACTGAAGGTCAATATCCAATGATGAAACAGAGGATTTTAAAAGTAAATTGCTGGCTCAAAAGATGGTGCCATCATGAGAACTTTGGCTTTCTTGACCATGGATTCACTGCCTACAGGAAGGGCTTCCAGTAAGAGATAGATTGCACCTCACAAGGATAAGGAAGCACGTGTCTGGAAATAACTTGCTCAGCTCTTTTGAAGAATTTGAACTAAAATTGGGTAGGGGAAGATGACCAACTTATAGAACTAAACTACAAATCAGATAGCATCAGATAAAGGGATACCATCAAGACAATGAGAAGTGATAATACCGTTTTACACCATGCTGGTGAGACCAAATTTGAAATACTGTGTCCAGTTCTGGTTACCAAAATACAAAAAGATGTGGAGACCCTAGAAAGCGTCCAGAGAACAGCAACTAAGATGATAAAGGGCCTGGAGGATAAATTGTCATGATGAACAGTTCAGAGAGCTAGATATGTCTACCTTATTGAACAGAAGAATTGGGAGGACATGATAGTTGGCAGAAAAGGATTGACATTCTCTAAGGTATCATAGGCCAGAACAAGAAATAATGAATGGAAGTTTGCCAAAGAAAGATCCAACAGAGAAATGACAAATTTTCTGTGAGAGCAATTAATAAATGGAACAGGTTGCCTCCTGGGGTTGTGGATGCTCCATCGTTGTAGGTTTTCAAAAATAGACTGGACAACTATTTCACCGGAATGGTATTAAGGCTCCTGCCTTGAGTATAAAGTTGGACTATAAGACCTCCGAGTCTCTTCCAGCACTATGATTCTATTTATTTATTGTTTAGTGTATGGAATTTGCAGAGGTCATTCAATCACAGATATACAAATGATATATCACTAACAAACTCTGTGTGTGTGTGTTCATAAACATATGCAGTAGCCAACAACTTCTGTTTTCCTAGTAGTAGACTGCCAACAAGTACAAGTCTTTCTGTCCTCTTGCTAGATGCAGCTGTTTCTCTATTTTTCAGGGATCAATCATCCTACCTTTTCTTCAACAGAATCCCTTTTCTGCTCCTAAAAATTCTGAACCCACATTTTTTTTTGCAAATAACTACAAGCAATTTCTGAATTCCAGTGGTACAAAGTGTCTTTTTTACCACTTGTTTCTTGTTCTTTCTCATCCATTGTTTTTGTATCCTTTATTTGATTTTCTTCTTACCAGAGGATCTTCATTCTTTAATTTGATCACATCAGTTTAAGTATGGCCACTCATGGCTTTTTTTTTTTTTTTTTTTACTTTTTGTACAACCACAACTGTGAGCTTAGACTTGTTGCAAATATATGCTGAACTGTTTTCAGACAGGGAGTACAAACATGACATGTCATAACCAAATACTATTTCCTGGTTTATTGGTTTATTTTGGTCAATTTATTTTTTATTGGTTGTAAGGGCATCTGTAACACAAACAAAACCTCCAACCTGTGGGACAATAGCAGAGCTGACCAGGTGGTTAGAACAAAGGAAGACATAATTTGATGTGACCTGATGATTGCTCACAGCTTTCTTATGTAATATAAGCAGCCAAGTTTGGTGGCATTTGAAGAACTTTTAGCACATGGAAGCTACAATAATTGATATATCATTTCCATATCAAGTTTTTGCTTTAGTTGGGTCTTATATCATCAACATACTGATGGTATCCTGCTCAAGTCCTGTAATGACTACATCCAAGACTTTATTAGGGTTTTCCAATAAGGGTCAGCCATTAAGATGACTCCAGTCAATTCCAAGGTGTCAAACTCAAGGCTGCGGGCTGCATCCAGCCTATGGGGGTGCTTAAATCTGGCCCACGGGGCCGGCCTGGAAATAGCAAAGGACTTGCCCACGGTGCCTCTGGCAGCCAAAACAGGGAGCAGGGGGCATGTGAGCCCCCCACTGTTCCCTGTTTTCAGCCTGGGTGGCCTCCTGCAGCACCCTGCTGGCCAAAACAGGGTACGGGCAGCTTTCCCATATCCCATTTTCGCCAGCAGGGTGCTGCTGGAGGCCGTCCAAGCCAAAAATGGGGAACAGAGTCTTGCACATACCCCTACACCCCATTTTGGCTAGCAAGGTGCTGCAGGCCACCATCCAGGCCAAAAACAGGATGCGGGGGGCCTCGCACTCTTCTCTACACCCTGTTTGGCCTGTAGGGTGCTGCAAGAGTCTGTCCCATCTCCCCCGGCCCCAGCCTGACCTGCAGAAAACTACAATGGTCATCCAGCCCTCCAAGAAATCCAGTTTTGACACCCCCGGTCTAAAACATAAATCAAACAAATATTGCTGAAAGACACCAGTGAGAATACCATTATTTATGTTCTGGACTTTGTTCTCACCTATCTCACATGATTCTAGGCAGTTCCCAATAACTGATAAAAATAAGGATAAATGACACTTCCATCAGAAGACACATGTGTAAGAAGAACCTCAAACTGCATACCAGATCAGTCAGGGGAAGTGTTACAGAGAGACAAACAGATATGTCAACTCTCCTAACTCCAGGGGAAAAATGATCCACAACCACTCCATCTTGCTAAGGTTGAGTTTCTCTCTCATTAGATCTTTTCAGTCTCCATGCAATGAGCTAGTAGCTGAATTTGTCCAGTAGAGATGTATAATGGGATATGTATAATGGGATAATGATGATGATCAACTCCCAGAGACTTCATATAGATGTTAAAGAGGAGAGAGGCTTGAGCTGAGTAACCCAACATAACAGGGTCTAGGAATGGACTTCTCATCCACCATAACTGACTGGTTATCAGCCACAAAGGGAAAAAAGGAAAACTACTGCAAAATAGCAACTCTCACTCTCAATCCCTGGAGCTGGTCCAGCAAAATACCAAGCAATGGTATCAAAAACCACTAAGAGATCTAGGAGGGCCAGAAAAGACTGGCCACCCTCACCCTGAGCCCTCCAAAGGTCAATGACCAACATAATCAATGTTGTGTATTATGTAGCCTGGCCTGACTGAAAAGGGTCTAGATAATCTGCTTCATCCAAACCTTGCACAGCTGGGAACCTACTACTATTAGGACCTCATTACCTTTCAAACTAAATATTCCACTGGGTGAAAATTAAACAATTAACAATGGAAGCATTATGAGCAGTTTATCAGAACACCTTGCAAATTTTAACACAGCAGAATTCTGAGTTATACAATAACATTTCCCAGAAGTGATGTCAGAAAGCTCTATTTGTAATATAATGGAAGAAGCAAAGTGAGGCTATGTCATAGCAGTTGTCAGGCCAAGCCAGAAGATAACACAGTAATATCCAATCAAGTCCAATCTTTTATTTTACCTGACATTCAAGCCTGCATCCCGAAGAACTTTTGCTGTTCCTCCTGAGGCAACCAAAGTCAAACCCAAAGAATTCAGACATTTTGCAAATTCCACCAGGCCAGTTTTATCTGAGACACTAAATAAAGCTGAAACAAAAGAAAAACAAATTCTTTAATGAGAGAATATTGATATATAGCAAAACCCCACAATCATATGGGTCAGTTATACAACTAAATTCACTATAGTTCTATTGTAAGAACTGGTAATCATCAATGAAAAAGGAGATTGTTTTTACAAACTGATCTACCAAGTAGGTTTCAGTCACACATTGCCTTTCCTGTTACGACTAAATGGAAACATTGCAACTTCTCAGCATAATAATTCTACAATAACCTATAATTCAGCATCTCCAATAGATGTTGAAATTACAGGGTCAATTACCTTCAGTGTTGCCAGCATTGTAATTCACACCAGGAAGGCATTACTGGTGGAGGGAGCTTGCCCAGAATAAATTTAATCGAACTAAGAGGGCTTGTATAACAATCTTGCAGTTTTTACAAAATGTCTTTTACAAAAATATTTTCCAATTTTCTTCTGCCTCCCAACTGATGTAATGCTTGGGATAACTGAAAACAGGGCAGCTGCTGTTCCTTTTAATTTACCCCTCAAATTATTTCATATGTTTCCCAGGAATTACAGAGAAAAATGTATTGGCCACAAATAAGAGGGCAAAGCGCACTGTAAATGTGAATATAACAGAATGAAAAATATAAACTGAAATGTAACATGGGGCTTTCAACATTATGTTATTCTCCTAGGATGATAAAGGCTAACTCTTTTCATCTTTTTTTCCTTGATTTAAAGTGTGTCTTCAAAAATAAGTCCGTATATTCGTATTTCTATTATCCTGAATGAATCCACTGCAAGATGAAAATCTTTTCATCACACGTGGACAGAAATGTAATTAGGCAGGGCTCTCTGCTTTATTTCTCACCTTCATGCCATTTTAAGCAGGTATCCTAGATGCCTTTCAATGGGATAAGAGCTCCTCTGTTCTTCAGAATGTTTGTACTCTGTCCTTCAATAGGATTTGGAGGATTCCATTTAATTCGAAGTTTGCGAAACTGCATCGCAATCATGAGAATCAAATAGCTAAGATCGCATTGCACTTTACGTTTTACACTGCAAATTGTCCCTACGTATTTGCAAGCTCCTCTTTAAAAAATATGCTAAAAAGAAGGGAGCAAACCCGGGAGAAAAGTTACGGATCGGGAGCCAAAGAAGATGCATTGAAAAAAGCAACTAATAGTTGAAAGGGATTCAACCCAAGAACGAAACTCCACTCGCTTCTCCTGAAGGGCCTTAACTTCCAAATTGGACGGGGCGGGGTTAAAACTTTTAACCTATCAGGGCACTGATTAACTATGCACATTGATTTTTTAATACGCAATCACCTAGTACTCCATGCAGATATTCTGTTTGTAGCTTTCGTGCAACGGTTCCCCTTCAATTTAATCATATGGGGAAAAGCGTCAATGCAGGTCACGAGGCTTGCTTCTGAATAACACGGATTAAGATCGGACGAACTTCAGAACAGAGCGTACACAAAGCAGAAGAGGAGCCCTGCCCACTTTTTTTTTTTTTTTACAATTACCAGAGTTGGAAGGGACCTTAAAGGTCATCTAGTCCAACCCTTAGCCCAAGCCCTCCCGTAAGTCAATCACCAAACCGGGCAGAGCTCTCCATTAAGCCAAAAACCAACGGGCGATGCTTCCTTCTCCTTTCAGAGAGGGGTGTGTAAACGAGCAAAACTTTTGCAGTGCAGTGAACCCGCAGGGTCGAGATGCCAGGCGTGGCAATCGAAACTCACCCAACTGCTGCCTCGAAGCCATGTTTGTAGACCCTCGGCAAGAAAACACTCCGGGAAAAGAACAAGCAGCGAGAGAGAAAGCCTGCCCCTCGCGGGTGGATATAAATAAGGAGGTGGTGGTCGAAGGAAGGGGGTGGGGTTACGATTGCATGCCGGGAAGGCGGGGAAAGAACTGAATCGCCTGAGGCTTCGATACAGCAAATAGAAAGAAGTGAGGGGAATTTAGGCCTTGCTGAATAGAATAGAACAGAACAGAATAGAATAGAATAGAATTCTTTATTGACCAAGTGTGGTTGGACACACAAGGAATTTGGCTTGGTGCAAATACTCTCAGTATACATAAAAGAAAAGATACATTCGTTAAGAATCATGGTACAACACTTAATGATAGTCACAGGTTACAATAAGCAATCAAATCATATTAGGAAACAGTCAATATAAATAGTAAGGATACAAGTGGCAAAGTTACAGGCATACAGTCACAAGTGGGAGGGGATGGGTAAGGAGTGATGAGAAGGTTAATAGTAATAGTAGTGCAGACTTTGTAGTAGTTGAACAGTGTTGAAGGAATTATTTGTTTAGCAGAGTGATGGCTTTTGGGGAAAAACTGTTCTTGTGTCTAGTTGTTCTGGTGTGCAGTGCTCTATAGTGTCGTTTTGAGGGAAGGAGTTGAAACAGTTTATGTCCGGGATGTGAGGGGTCTGTAAATATTTTCACAGCCCTCTTTTTGACTCGTATACAGGTCCTCGATGGAAGGCAGGTTGGTACTAATTGTTTTTTCTGCAGTCCTAATTATCCTCTGAAGTCTGTGTCTGTCCTGTTGGGTTGCAGAACCAAACCAGACAGTTATAGAGGTGCAGATGATAGACTCAATAATTCCTCTGTAGAACTGTATCAGCAGCTCCTTGGGCAGTTCTCCTAGCGCAGAACAATAAGTGGAGTGGTCCCTGAATTAGACCCGCTATATTCTAAGTCAAGGGACAGTGTAAAAGCTGAAACTATTCACTGGTCACCTCAGACTAAATGTCTTTGATGCAGTAACAGTATCTTCTACCTCGTTTGTACCATGCAAAATTCCATAGTTCTGCACAATCTGCAACAATGGTATACGATTGTTCCCTGCATTGAGCTTTTCTTTAGTCATGTAGGTAGTTTTGCATGTTTCAGCAATATGGGTGATAGAGCAATTATTTTTAGATTCCAAAGTTGGGAGAAAGACACTGGAAACAGGGAGGCTGATTGGAAAGATGGTTTAATTATGAACAGAACCATCAGCATTTATGGTTCTGGTATAGCTGACAAATTGATGAGTACATGGATTTTTTTTTTAATTTCAGAGATGTCGTTAGTGGGGATTGGCCAATGTTTGAAATGCCCTTAGGAGATTGTAATGTAGTGAGCTCTGAGTCTTCTGCTAAATGTTAGTGGGTTAATCCTATTATGTTCTGAAGGGTCATGCCCTGTTTTTAATCCCATCCTGGAGATGAAAATCGTTTGTAGATAAGATGGCCCAATCTTTCTTAATGGGCACAAAATATTTGCTGCGGGCTATTAAGAAAGACTGAGCCTGCTTCCTGCCTCTAAAAATATGTTTCTTCATTTCTCATTTAGGGAAATATAATATTCGGCCTTTTTAATATTTCTCAAAATATTTCATTCTTCTAGGAGGGAGGGTGACTTTCCGCAGAACCAGAGCTGGTATTCAGCAGGTTCTGACCAGTTCTGGAGAACCGGTACTGGAAATTTTGAGTAATTCGGAGAACCGGCAAATACCACCTCTGACTGGAGATTTTACAGTATCCTTCCCCTGCCACGCCCACCAAGCCACACCCACAGAACCGGTAGTAAAAAAAAAAAAAAACAATCCCACCACTGCGCAGAACATTATTGAATAACTGAATAAAATATACATGTACATAAATATTAATATAAATGTGTAAACTTCAAATATTATAAATGGAATACTGTTGTTTGTATAGGTAGTCGTCAACCTAGGACAACAATTGACCCCCCAGAATTTATGTTGCTAAGCAAAACATTTGTTGAGTGAGTTTTGTCCCATTTTATGATCCTTCTTGCCAACTTGGTTAATCACTGCAGTGAAGTTAGTAACCCTGGTTGTTAAGTGAATCTGGTTTCTCTATTGACTTTGCTTGTCAGGTCAAAAAGATGATCATGTGACTATGGAGATGCTACAGTGGTAAGTGAAACATGGTCATAAGTCACTTTTTTCAGTGCTATTGTAACTTTGGTGACTAAATGAACGGTTGTAAGTCAAGGACTATCTGTATCTTGCATAAATAGAATATATCTAGAATAATAGAATAAAATTAAATACCTTTAATTTAAATCCAGCTTTACATTAGTGTAAAACAGGGGTCCCAACCCCCGGTCCACGGACTGGCCCCAGTCCGTGGCATGCCAGTAGCCAGACTCTGCATACAAGTAAAGCTCCATCCGTGGCATGCAGGCAACATACACACACACACAAGCAGAGAAACCTTTCTCCCTGGAAACAGTCCCTGGTGCTCAAAAGATTGGGGGCTGCTGGTGTAAAATATCACAGAACAGGTCTTGATGCTACCTGGCTGTGATATTCTTTTTTTAAGTACTAAGTAAATCTAATCTTTTCAAGACAAAACATACCCAGCACCTTCAATCTTTCTTTATGGGATTTAGCCTTGAGACTTAATTACTCTTGTTTGCCTTTTCAAACTGTTCCCAAGGGTGGTGCCCAGAACTGGATACAATATTGAGGTCATTCTCACTAAAGCAAAGGAGTAGATCAAGTACTTAATGCGATTTGCAAATTACTTTGCATAAATGAGATTTGCAATCAACTGTGCATTTGGTCTCTTGCATCTTTGTTCCTATTAAATTTCAGTTCAGTTTTCAAACTTATCAAGGTTACTTTGAATAAAATTTCTTTCTTCTAGCATATTAGTAATTCCAGTTTTAGGTCATCTGCAAATTTGTGGTTTAGTTTCACTTGTTTCATTGAAATCATTAATAAAATAATCGAGGAATAGAGAGGGCAATATTGTACCTTTTGCACCCAATATCTCTCTCCAATTTGACAGAAAACCATTGATGGTATTTCATTATGAAATCTATTAGGAAAGTTATCAGATGAAAAAAGGAGGTATAGTTAGTATTGTTATAACAAATACCTCTAGCTGTGAAACCAAATGAAGTAAGTAACTGTTGCATTACCCATGTTACCCTAACTGTTGCATTACCCAGCTTACACAGGACTGCAGAAATGCTTTATAGTTACTCTAAGACTTGTTCTTGACAAATCTATGTCGATTTTGAGTTACTATGGTATGGTTTTTTGAGGAGAATCTGAAAATCTATTCTAAAGTCTTTGCAGCTATTGATCCAAACTAGTTGGCCCTCCAAACACCTGCACTAATTCTCTGGAATTTCTTAAATATACATAAAGTTTCAGCTAATTACTTCAGATGTAATTCAGATCAGGGGTAGCCAGCCTTTTGGACCTCAGGGATCACCAAACTCATAATTTTAAATCCCACGGATCAGAGTTCCTGGGAAAATCCCAAAAAAAGTCTGCAGGAAAATTCCCCACCCTGTTTTCCTACTGATTGATTATTCTTTATTTGGGATCATAGGATACCGTCTCCAGCTCCATTCTCAGGGGGAGAGAGAAAGAGAGAGACTTTTAGCTTCATGCAAGGAAAGCAGTAGAAGCAGCAGCAGTCTTTCTTTCTCACCCCCAAACTCCGCCAGAAATGAGTCTTTGCCGGGCAGCCTCTTGGAGCAGGATGCCTTGGAGCAGGTTCATTTCTGGCGAAGTTTGAGGGAGAGAAAGAAAGACTGCTGCTGCTTTCCTTATGTGCAGCCAAAAGCAGAAGAAGAAAGAAGCTGAAAGAAGCAGACTGGTGGCCAGGCCAGGCACATGGGACAAGTGGGGCAAGTTCTCCCCCTCTGCCCTTTCCCCCCTTCCTTTACTACCTCATGTTGTTCGCAATGCAAGCGACGCAAGCCTTGTGTTCCCACAGGCCATGTGGGTGGCGTAGCCTTGTGTTCCCGTGCAGCCTGGATTAATTGCTTTGGGGGGATGCTTTGGGGGTGACATTTCTCTGTGGACCACCAGAATTTTCTCACGGACCACCAGTGGTCCCCGGCCCACTGGTTTGGTGACCACTGATCCAGATGGTACTAGAAAGTAAAACTCATTCGGAGAAACACCTGCCTGACCAATCCTGCTCTTTACAGTTTGAATACTGCAAAATATTTTCTTATTGGAAAATACAGAACCAAGATAGGAATTGGAGTGCCTTTTCTTTATTATATTATGTCATAGCCTTTAACTTTCACTGAGCAGCTGATTGGCCATTCCTTTGGTTTTCATTTTACATAAGTCATTTTTGATTTTCTTAGTAATCTTTGCCATCTTCAGTTCATTCCTGATACTGTCATTATAGTTTTAAACTATTCTTGTTTGGTATGTACTCTTTGTTGATAACCCAATCTCCAATTCATTTCCCATATGTCTGCTTTTTATGGTTTAGATTTCACCAAAATTGTTTAGGTAGCCACATTGACTTTTTCTGCTATTAGCTTCTGTTTCCCCCCTCATTGGAATTATTTGCAGTTGTGCTTTTAATATGTCCTTTTGTAGAAACCACCATTCGTCTTGAGCTCCTTTTCCTATTTCCACCTCCTTTATGAAAATCCAAAGTCCAAAAATATAGAATTACAGAATAGCAGGGTTGGAAGGGACCTTGGAAGTCTTCTAACCCAACCTCCAGTTCATGCAGGAGACCCTATACCATTCTGGATAAATGACTTTCCAGTCTTTTCTTAAAAACCTCCAGTGATAGAGCACCCACTTCTGGAAGCAAATCATTCCACTGACTAATTTTCTACTGATAGGAAATTGGATCTCTCCTATAAGCTTCCACCCATTATTTGTTGACCTGTCCACAAGTGCTTTGGAGAATAGGTTGGCCTCTTCTTTCCTGTTCAACCCCTCAGATATTGGAAGACTATCATACCACCTTTAATCCTTCTCTTTAATGGGCTAGGCCAGGGGTCGGCAACCTTAAACCTTCAAAGAGCCATTTGCACCTGTTTTTCACAGAAAATATCGGGAGCCACAAAACCTTCC